TTCCTGGCTGTTCAGTAGCATGAGATTTTTAATTAGCTGGAGTGTGCTGGTGCTCTGCCTGCAGGAAGGCAGCTGCCCCCAGGCACGAGGGAGAGCTCTGGTTCGTGCAGCATTCAGTTTGTTTCAGTAAACCTCATCTCTGCTACATGTCAGCTCTAGAATCCATGTGGGCTGCCCAAGATTTCCACTTCAAGAGGAGTTTGAAGGGTATTTACAAGGGAGAATGGGAGATAAGCTAACGAAGACCTATATATGTTACCTGGTTATAATCTCCTCCAAAGCAAATTCCTTTAGTTCTTTTTCCTATCCACTCTGAAAAAGTGCTTATGTTAACATTTGCTTTCTTATTTAAAAGAAAAAAGTTTTAAAAATGATTTCAACATAGACTTCACAAGTTTATTTATTGATTTTTTTTTTCTCATTTCTTCTTATTTGTTCTTATGAATGTATAGTCACACACTCTGTCCTGTCAGTCTCCCTTTCCCAGCACTCCTACCACAAGGCGTGCCTTGCAAAGGACTTTGTCAGATGAGAGCATTTACAGTGGTCAGAGGGACCACTTCTTCACCTCGCGGGCCTCGCTCCTGGACCAAGCCATGCCAAATGATGTCCTCTTCACCAGCACCTACCCTTCCCTCCCAAAGTCCCTGCCCCTACGGAGACCATCCTATACTTTGGGAATGAAGTCACTACATGGTAAGTGGATTTCCCATTTTTCTGCTTTGGAAGGAGTCTGCTGTGAATCACATTATGGGAAAATGTTTTTATAGCAGTTAGTGCTTCCATCTTGATTTTGCAGAATGAGAAGAGTCAAGTCACATGCCTGAAAGTATAAAATAGGATGGGAATTCTATTTTTTTTTTTTTTTCCCCTCACTTCAGTGGATCTAAGACTGCGTGACTGGTCATGCAGTTATCTTGTGGGGGGAGCATAAAAATCTGCCTTATCGGCTCTAAGTTTTCACCATTTCTTTCAGGATTCATCTGGATTAGTTGGACCAGTGGACAAATAATGTGTGCCTGGTTATCCACCAGTGACAACTTCAGGTGTCAGTTCCTTCAGTGTAGGATTATGGGAACAAAATACTATTAAGAGAATAGCAATATAAAAGTGGATGAACAGTAGTGGACATTTGGATGTACAGCTACACCAGATACAGCTTCCATTGCACTACTTTTTAAATTCACTCTCTTACTCTTCATTTTACAGGACTTGAGTTAATTATTTTAGTCACACTTTAGCAGCCAACAAGAAAAAGTTACTTGGGAAAGTGCTGTCAAGAAGGCGCTCAGCTTTCCCCTGATAGTTTACCAAAAAGTCTCAGCAGGATCATCTGATAGGTTGTGTGTTGCTGCATGTTCACGTCTCAGCAAGAGGGATTTTTCACAGGTTCCTGCTGTACCTCATAACTCAATGTGTTTTCCAGAAATAGAGCCAGATCTCACAGTGTGGGATTCCACAGTGTTTTCTGAAGTACATGTCTGCTCTGATTTATTCGTGGTTTCATATGTTTCATGAGGAGAACACGAGGCTATCAATAGATTCAACTCTATCTGGTGGGCCCAAAGCACCGTCTGTATTTAGATACACAGGATACATTCAAGAGTGAAGGCTGCTGAAGAAGTCTATTTTAAGTTCTTTTAATCTATCTGTGATCACCAGGCATCAGTTCTGAGTGTTGAACCTGACATTTCCATGAGCTGTTGTTTCTGTATAGCGTGTTTCTTGTGTAAGAGTTAGGAAACTGAGCTCTCCTCACTGCTGCTTTTTATGTGCACCAAAATAACTTTGCAGACTTGGTTACTCTTGAAAGTGGCTGGTGGATTTGGCTTCTGAGGGCTTGGGGTCAGAAGATTAATGATACCATCTCAGAAGTGGAAAGCAGCACTTGGTCTCTTTCATTTAGAGCTCTGCATTTTCCAAAACAAAACCCACAAAAACCTTCTCCCACTGTCACATTATCTTCCACAGCAAACAGATTACTCCTCCTAGCTCATAAGACTTCTACATTTGTTAACAAAACAAGATTTTCCATTTTCTCTAATGTGGGGCCTGCATGATAAAAGGACCAGCTATTTGAGTGGCACACGGATTGTCTCCCCCACACACACTTGCCTTTGCTGAGAGGAGGATTAAGTAGAGCTGGATATTTAATACCATGAGTATTTGATGGCTTCCAGCTATTCAGAAGTCTTTTAGTTCAAAGATTTTAATAACAAAGAATAGCCATTCCAGAGCACCTGCATGTGTTTTGAAGAGGAAAAACAGCAAGCTAAAAATACTGTTATTTATTCATCTCTCTTAAATAACAATCCAGCTTAAATCAGGGAATTAATAACCATTTTTTTCTTCTAATTCTGTGTATCTTTTCACTAATTGTAAATATTTTCATGTTAAGAACTTCCCAAATAACTGCCTTCTTGTAGGGAGATAACACAAGAATCCTCGGTGTTAATATTGAGCTGAACTTAATGTTTCTAAAAAGTAAATACTCACATAGAGACAACAAAAAAAATTTTATTTCAAGATTTTTAAGCAAAGAATTGAATGCACTTGTCACTTTTCTGGTCATTGTTTCCCAGGCAGCAATATTACTTAGCTAAAGTTATTAGAAAGTTATTTTAGTTAGTGAAGTTATATAGTTAGTACACTATCAAAAAAGGGGGGCAGGACAAAAATAAGCCCAACCAGTAAACTGAAATAAAGTAAATAATTGCTGGTTCACAATTTGGTCTTTCCATAAATAGTGGCAATAATTAAAGTATTTCACTTTGCTAGGCTCCAGTTTTCATGAAAATTGCAGGGGCTTCATATCCTTCTTTCAAGCTTGCCAGTGTTTTTTGTGTGGCACCATGTACCAACTCATGGGCAAGTGTGAGTATTTTTTGATTAAAGATCAAGAAGCTTCACTAAACTGCTGAGAGATGTGCAGTGCTTTGGAAGTCATTTTAAGAGTTTTCTTCTGATTCATCTTGGTAGGCTAAGTTGCTCTCATTGGTTTATGATATTGTAAAGAGAGGAGGGAGAAAAAAGAAAACCCACAGTTCTGTAGTTTTACAGGAGCAAATAGGTACCAGGGAGTGTCAAAGCTCCAGCAAGCTGTAGAGCCTTCCAGAGTATCTTAGAAGATACTTTTTGGGCAGAGGAGTTGGACAGTGCTGGGGGCAGGCAGAAGGTTGTTTCTGATGTCCTAAGCTACAGAGATTCAAGCAGGTTAGAAAGGAGCTGAACGTCCTGGTGAGCAGCAGTGGCTCAGAAAGCTGGCCTGTAACATGGTTTGTCTGGTCAGCTGCAGTGCATCAAACATTCTGCTGAGTTCTGGTTCCAGAACTACTATCTCAGAAAAATTAAGAATAAGGATGCATTAGTATTAAGAAAGGACTTCTAGGGGTTTGTTAATGGAGTTTATAATTCGTTCTGCTATACTCTAGGAGAGTTTTCTGCCTCAGACAGCTCCCTCACAGATATCCAGGAGCAAAGGCGGCAGCCCATGCCAGACCCTGGTCTTATGCCATTGCCTGATTCTGCCTCTGATCTGGACTGGTCAAACTTGGTAGATGCTGCCAAAGCTTTTGAAGGTAAGTTTCTAGAATGTAATACTTAGAAAGCTGGTCTTTGTGCATGCTTCATTAAGGAGTGGGTTGGTTTGGGTTTTTTTTATCTCGACTCTGCTTTTGTTGTTGTTATTGTTTCAGCTTAGTCTGAAACCTAAGCTGATTTATAACAGTACCTCAAATCTTAATAGCCTAAAGCTGTAATACTCAGGTACCATTTCTTCATACTGGAATCCCTCTATTACAGTTTGGCCAAAAGTCTGTGAAACTGGCTGCTTTTCATTCCGTGTAGAGCAGTTGCAGACAGCACAGCTAGAGTGGAAAAGACATCTGGCACAAAAGTGCAGAAGTCAAGTCAAATAGCAGGGGAAATAAGAGCACACTAATGGTTCCTTTCTTACTGCACTAGCAAGAAGTTTCTGTAGTGCAACTGAAGAGTGCTGCCAAGGTAATTTGGGGAATATGCCTTGTTGGTATTATTTTTCCACTGCCATTCTTCCCTTTGCATACTCTGAGTACATAGACTTGTACCTAAGTGTCATTTCATCCTATGGCTCTTTCCAGCTCCTTGACACTTGTAAACTGAAGAGAACTGTAGGCTGCCTAGATGTATTTGAATTTAAAATTAAATACATGTCAGCCCAAAGAGAGTTTACCTTACTATGATCAGATGGAAAAGTCTTCTAGCTGCATTAAACAAGAGTGCCTTTTCCTAATCTCTGCATAAATGCTGTCTCACCTTCATGAAGGTGTTTTCACTGATCCCAAATCCTTCAGCCACTGTTCTGCATGGTTGGAGAAGGCTGTGAAGTCACTTGCTTTCTTGGCTGTTCTCTGGTAGTAGCCCTACACATCAACAGTGCCTGTCTAAGCTGCTGTTGGAGACACACGTGTGCCTTCTGCTCTGTTGCCATAGGAGCTGTAAGGTCAGTCCTGCTGTGCAGCCTTGAGAAAGTATTCAAAGTAAGCCATAGTCCTCAAGAAGAGATGAGTTTTGTGGTGATGTTTTTCACCACCACACAGAGGTGAAACTCAGGTTTTAATGCATTTCACTGTGGTCAGCAATTTCTGTTTAAGTTTCCACCTTCTTGATTAGATTTCTTTGACTGTCCTCATTAGCCTGAATCCCTCACTTTGGTAGGCCCCACACTGACTCTTGTGTCTGTTTAGAAGTGTGGACACATCAGTGTGGTGAAGGTAACAAACAGCTCAGGTGAGGAATAGCTGGGGTAGTGTGTTGGCTGGCACCTTCATCTCACCACTCTAAAAAGTGTATTCAGCTCTCACTCAGAGAGGGAACAGCTGTCTGATGTCAGTGTGGTCCCAGTTTCTAGTCTCTGCCAGGTGCCACTAGGGATTGACAAGTACCAAGCAGCCTAAATTCTGATCTGTGATCCTGGACACCTCTCTTCTACATGATTGATTGGTCTTCAGCACAAGCCCCCAGAGTTACAAATAGTGATATATGCAGCCAGCTGAAACAAAAACTGCCTGGATCCCTGAGCTACACCAACCTTCAGGATTTCCACTGAAAGGAAAAAAAGAGAGGAGGAAAAACTCCATTAAACACCAGACATGTTAATTTTCGCCTTGTTGAAGGCACAGGATCAATCTGTCAGTCAGAAAAAGACAATACTGTTCCATTTCCAGTGAGAGACCAGCTGCTGCTGCTAAGGGAGAGAGATGTTAATAAATTAAATTTAAAGATGTTTATGTTACTGTTTGTGCTGCGAGACTCCAGAGGTAAGGGCAGTTGGTAGTTTACAGTCACACCACATGCAGTAGTGATTTAGAGATGTGTTAAAACATCTGAGCAGTTACAGGACAAAAAGGCAGGAAAGAGGTTTCACATTTCAGCCTGAAAACATTTTCTAAGGCATAAGGAAAAAATTTTAGGTTCTGAAAAATTACACTGATCATTTTACTTTCCACATGTAAATCGTGCACAGTGAGCTTTTCTTTCCTCAAGATAAAGGGATCCTTTATGGAGTGAAGGAAGCTAAATATAGTTACTGAGTTATTGGCCAGTGTCATGCAGCTGTACCCAGGAAGTTCTGCACAGCTCTTGTTGTTCCAGCTTGGCTTCTTGCCTCTCTTGGAACTGGCCTTGGGTGGCTGATAGGATGAGAGGAAATGGGCTTACGCTGCGCCAGGGGAGGTTTAGATTGGCTATTAGGAAGAATCGTATGTACTGAATGAGTATTGAGGCATTGGACGAGGCTGCCCAGAGAGGTGCTGGAGTCACCATCATTGGGGGTGTTTAAAAAGCACGTGGACGTGGTCCTTCAGGACATGGTTTAGTGTCCATGTTAGTGGTGGGCTGACGGTTGGACTTGATGATCTGTACACAAACAGCTAGTCCTTACAGCTGCCCTTGGTTTTCTGTTTGCCTTCTCAGTTCAACGAGCTTCATTCTTTGCTGCTGCTGATGAGAATCACAGGCCTGTGAGCGCTGCCTCCAGCAGTGATCAGGCTGAGGACCAGCTTACTGCACAGATAAAGCCTTACACAGGGTAAGTAAGTGGACCAGGTACGCTGGTTTCCGTAGCTACAAACTGAGGATACGAGTAGGAACATCTTTATTTGGAAGCCATCTCCAGGCTTCACAGAAGAACTCTTCACAAGTTCTCATAAAGACAGTGGTGGGAGGTGAAAACAGGAGAATTCTAAGTCCAGTTGTACCTTTTTGCAAGTTCTTTCTTGTCTGAGAAGTTCATGAATGTGTCCAAAGCAATGGCAATTCAAGGCACATGTAATGAGTAGAGGTAGAGAGAAGTCCAGCGGTGGGATGGCCCCAATTAATAATGAGTTAAATTTTTTTCAGTGAATTAAAGTGCTGCACATGTTCCACTTAGTCTTTATTAGGTTCTTTTTGCTCATTTTGTGAATTCTTTGTGTACCTGAGTGCACACCTATGTAAAGCCACTTGGTATAGACAGGGCTGCTAGCTGCCCTGTGTGAAGATAGTAAATCACATTAATGCCTATTCTTGTTTCCTGCTTTCAACAGTAAAGAATCTCCTCCAACTCTCGCCTCTAAAGTGGACCAACTGGAAGGTTTGCTGAAGATGCTGCAAGAGGATTTAAGGAAGGTAAACATTTCATGTACAGAAAAATCTATATTTAGTGCATAACATCACATTAGGTGATGTTAGTAAGTGTGTAATCCTGCATTGCCATGCCTGAGCTGGGGACAGTCTCATACTTGTATGAGAAAAAGACGTCTTTAAAACTTTTCTCAGGCCATACTTCTGATTATGCAAGGTGGAGTGTCTAAATCTGTAGGCATCTGATTCCTCTGCTTCACTTCAGAGGGTGATCCAGAGTACCTCCACTCCTAGTTCAGGTAAAGCTGCCAAAGGCTTAAATTTAGTCCATGTAAATATTTTGTGCTGACATTGAAAAGTGAGAGTATAATCCAAACATATCGATTCTACCGTGGAAACATCCTGTTTTGTGTTCCTGCCTGCTTTGTCCAAGAAGGATCTGCTGTGGTCAGATGAAAAGTGCCTTAGCTGGGGAACTGTTTGCAAGAATATTTCCCATCCCTTATTTAGTTAACCATCAGCAGTTGTACACACATGCTGTACGTACAGAACGGGGCATGCCCAGTTCTATCTCACCACTTGGGGAGCCAGCTTCTGTATTAGCCTTTAATATGAAGAAATGCTGCTCATTTGAGCAAAAAACAAAGAACAAAACGTTACAAATGTCCCTTAGATGTAAAACCATGTGTTACTGCACGCAAAATCCTTACAAAGAATGAGATTCGTGCTGTCATGAGAGAGCTCAGCTCTGCATAGGTAGGAAGCATGACCTAAAATGTGCACTGAGATCTGTTTCTCCTCGTGCCTAAGGAAAAGGAGGACAAGGCCAGTCTGCAGGCTGAAGTGCAACATTTGCGGGAAGACAACTTGAGGTTACAGGAGGAATCCCAGAATGCAACCGAGAAGCTGAAGAAGTTCACCGAATGGGTTTTCAACACAATTGATATGAACTGAGAACAACGTCCGGGGAAGGAAACTATCTGTTATGAATATTATTACTGGGACTTAAGCTTTAATGCCACCTTAATCATGACATGTGAAAGTATAGTCAGAGCACTTCCCTGTCCTTCATCCTCCAATAACCCTTTTTTGCATCTCTGCGCGCACTCAGAACAATTGCAGATCAACAATCAATGTCTGCCTTTTGTAGAAAAAGTAAATAATTTTAAAAAAGGTAAAATAAAAGTTTAACTGCTAAAATGTGAATGTCTATTTTTTGCACATTGTCTCTTTATCTGTTATGTACAAAATTATTTGGAGGTGGGACCAGGCTTGCTGCTCCATCTGCCTCTCTTTCCATTAACTCCTTTCTCTCTGTTTCAGGTAATCTGCTTTTCCTTGCAGCTTTGGCAAATATTATGACATCTAGAAAATTACACAGAAATGGTTATTTTTCTGCTCTTCTTACGTTGTTTTCTGAAGTATGCCACAGACAAGGGGATGTAACGCAGTGTTTTCGGTGTCTCCTTGGCAATTTGTGCTTGATGGCTAGTGCTCCCTCCCCATACCTTACAGAGAACCACAGCGTATGGAACTGTGCAACCAGCAGCCTAACGCTGGGAGAGACACCAGAGAGGTGGGCCGTGGGCGAGGCACATTACCACACATCGACTGCATTAGCATTTCTGGGAGCTGTCGTTTCCCGTGGAAACAACGGCTGCAAGTCACTTGAGGAGCAGCAGAGCGGGCGTGCTGCAGGCCGTGCTCAGTCAGGCACCGAGAGACACCGAGCGCTGCTGCTGTAGGGCTGGAGTGGAGTCCCCGTCCCTTCCAGGGGATCTGTTACTTGCCTACGTGCAGAAGGCTTGGGCTGAAGTTGTAAAGAGATTTAAGATTTCTTTCCCTCAACTGTTTCCATGAAAATCCACATAAACCATCTCCGTGCACCTGCCCCCTTCCATTGCATTTCTCTGGACTTCTCAAATCACAACAGATTTGAGAAATGTTTATTCAACTTGTGCGTTATTACATGAGAGGTCTTATAAATCTTTCACTACGGTAGGCAGAGGGAAGTGTAAAGGTGAATTAGAGAAGTGTATTTTTCAATGTGCTGGGATAGGATTTGAGCTCTGAAATCCCCAGTCCCCAGTGAAACCGTCTGGCGTGAGATTTCCCCAACTGCCTCATGCCAGGAAAGTTAATTTCTTGTTCTTTGAAGGAGCAGCTAACTTGCCACGACGCGTTACCTCTCCCGAAAAGGCCTTTAGCTGTCAGCAGAGCTGTGAGCGCCGCGGC